TCCCGGTTCCCAGTCCCGTTCCCGCCATGGCCACCGCGCGGGCACCGGCGGCGCGAGGCGGGGCCCGGCCCCCCGAGGTTAGTGTTCGGGGGCGGGGGCGTCTCCGGGCCCGTTCCCTGCACGGCAGCACCGCTCGCTGTTGCCGTGTGGGGTTCGCGATGCGCCGGTGTCACCGGAGCCATCTAAGGAGCCGCGGCCGGGGAGCTCACGTGTTTTCCTGCGTTTCTACACGAGCCTGTTTTTCTTGGGAAGTTGGTGTGACGCCCCTCTGCGGGGAGAGGGAGCTGGGCACCGTTTCTGTTCCTCAGCCTTCCAGGGAGAATGCGGGAGCTGGAGGACGGCATCAGTCCTGCCTGTGCTGGGCTCAGCAGCAGGAGGAAAAGCTTCGTGTTCGAAAGCTTTTTCAAAAAATAGTAGCGTAGATAATAGATACAAAGGAGACAACACAGCCCTAAGCGTGTAATGGGGCATTTTACTTTTGCTTTGGCGTTGGGGCCAAATCGTCAATGTCCAGTGGCTSTCCCATCCCTGGAAGTGTCCAAAGCCAGGTTGGATGGGGCTTGGAGCAACCTGGGMTWTTGGAAGTGTCCCTGCCCATGGCWGGGRGTGGAACGGGATGAACTTTAAGGTCCCTTCCAACCTAAACCAGTCTGGGGCTCTGAGAGGATCTTTGCATGGTGCACAGCCCGGKTTTCCCAGCACAGCTCAGCTCTGGGACAGCCAGGCTGTTTCCTGGCTCTTCTGTCCCCAAACACACTCCAAACTGTGCCTTTCCCTGCAGCCCCCCAAGCCCAAGCCTGCAGAGGAGAGTGATGCACCCCCAGCCAAGCGAGCGCCCATCTTCTATGGGAGCCTGGAGGAGAAGGAGCGGGAGCGCCTGGCCAAGGGCGAGTCAGGGCTGCTGGGCAAGGAGGGCATGAAGGCTGCCATGGAGGCTGGCAACATCAACATCAGCAGTGGTGAGGACATGGAMCCACCTTTTGTTATCCCTGCCCAGAGATGTGACACTTCCAAATGTCTCTGATCACTCTCTGGGCGCCACCTCAAACCACACAAGGATGGGCAGCTCCTTGATTGGATGCTSCTGTTTGGGAGGGATCCAGGGGCAGAGAGGCTCTGGAACAGGTGCCCGGGGAGGGTGTGGAGTGTCTCTCTCTGGAGATATTGCAAACCCACCTGGATGCATTCCTGTGTCCCCTGCTGTGGGTGACCCTGCCGGGGTGATCTCCAGAGCTCCCTCCCAGCCCCATCTGTTGTGTGATCCGTGGTGGCCCCGCTGTGCTCAGGGCTTTGTCTGTGCCCAGGGGAGGTGTTTGACCTCGAGGACCACATGAGCGAGCGCCAGGCCGAGGTGCTGGCYGAGTTTGAGCGCCGCAAGCGCGCCCGGCAGATCAACGTCTCCACCGATGACTCCGAGGTCAAGGCCTGCCTGAGGGCCCTGGGGGAGCCCATCACGCTCTTCGGAGAGGGGCCTGCGGAGCGCAGGGAGAGGTGCTGTGTCTGTGCCAACAGAATGGCCATTTAACGGATTCCTGAGGTTTCCTGGCAGTTGGGGTGCAGTGGGTGCTGCCACTCAGCACTGCTGTGTCATGGGAGAGCTGGGGATGTTCACTCTGGGGAGGAGAAGGCTCTAGAGAAACTCTAGAGTCCCTTGCAGGGCCTAAAGGGGCGCCAGGAGAGCTGGAGAGGGACTTTGGATGAGGGTCTGGGGTGACAGGACACAGGGAATGGCTTCCCACTGCCAGAGGGCAGGGATGGATGGGATATTGGGMAGGAATTGTTCCCTGGGAGGGTGGGCAGGCCCTGGCACAGGGTGCCCAGAGAAGCTGTGGCTGCCCCTGGATCCCTGGCAGTGCCCAAGGCCAGGCTGGACATTGGGGCTGGGAGCAGCCTGGAAGAGTGGAAGGTGTCCCTGCCCATGGCAGGGGGTGGCATTGGGTGAGCTTTAAGGTTCCTCCCTACCCAAACCACTCTGTGACTCTGTTCCAAGAATCCTGAGGCAGAAGAAATGTCACACGGGTATTTGTGACTAAATCCATCTTYGTGTCTTTTTTTCCAGGTTAAGGAACATCCTCTCAGTGGTCGGCACAGATGCATTAAAAAAGACCAGGAAAGATGATGACAGGTCAAAAAAGTCCAAGGAAGAGGTAAATATGTCTCCTGTCMTCTCAGTGCTGAGGAATAGGGATGAGGGATATTATATCCAGGTCTCTGATATGCAGGACTCCTGGCTTTGGTCAGTCTGTGGATTCTCAATCATCCCTTCCRTGTTGCCCATTTTAGCAAACCTGTGCCACTGTTTGGTCTCAGTGAGGAGCACTAAGTGTGGGTTTTTACTCACAGACTGAGCTGTGTGCTGCACTCAGTGTGCAAACCAGGAGAGCAGGTGTTTGGGCTCTTACTCACTATAGCAAGTTCCTTATTTTTGTTCACACTGGGGAAGGAAAAAAAAATCCTGCTGTTGCATCCATTTCTGCCTTTGATTGTTCTTTCTGCTTCTGTCTTTCTTCTGAGTCCATTTTTCTTATAATTTTTGAGTTCTGCTGTAAGAAATAATTCCTACAGCTCTTGGCTTTCTCTTTACTGGGTGATGTGTAAAGAAGGAGGGAATTACATGTCAGGAAGTGCAGATGAATGTTGAGTGAAGTGGCAGCACGTCAGGATTGGATCTATAGGGCAGAGAGTTTGATTTATCTCTGTTAATCCCTTTTTCTGAGCTTACAGTTGTGCAGAAGAGGCCAGAGCACAGCAGGGTTTGGGAGCAGGTTCTGGGAGGGGAGAATGAGTGGAGGGGAAGCAGCACCAGAGCATTTTCATGAGTTTTATTTTCATGAGTTTTATTTTATTTTTTTATTTTTACAGTATCAGCAAACCTGGTACCACGAGGGCCCTCGCAGTCTGAAAACAGCCAGGCTGTGGCTGGCCAACTACTCCCTCCCCAGGTGAGAGGAAACWGCACAAAAGAGGAGGGAGATGCAACCATTTGTCAAATGCAAGTGCTGATCCCACTGTAGTAGCATGGCAAATCCAAGGAGTGGGGAGGCAAGTCCAGTGAGCCCAGAGCTTGAGCTGTCAGGGACTGATCCAGCATTAGCCCAGTTTGGGGGAAGAGCAGGGAARGGCCTGTTTGCAGCAGAGGGAGGGGAATGCTGAGGGTTCTCACTCTACCTTTACTCTCCCCAGGGCAGCGAAGCGGCTGGARGAGGCTCGGCTGCTCAAGGAAATTCCTGAGGCCACCAGGACATCCCAGAGGCAGGAGCTGCACAAATCCCTGCGGGTAGGTTTGGATACACAGCTCCACTGCTGTGTTCACAGCRTTTGGCTCAGCAGGAATTCAGCTGCCTGAGGTGCTGTCCAGTTGTACATCAGTCTCTGTCTGCAATCTTGGGATGTTCTGCTTTTCCTCTCAGTCCCTGTGTCTGTGAAGCACRTCCTGAGTCCTTCAGAGTGATCCAGGGAGTGTATTTGTCCCTGTGTGTGGCAGAGGGATGTAGAGATATCCCTGTTTTGCCTTGCCCCTTGCCTGTGAAGCTGAAGGAATGTGTTCCTGGCTCTGGCATGGCTTGGGCTGGCTGGGCAGCCAGGGAACCCAAGGGAAATACCCAGCTCTGGGTGCAGAGCATGGTTGGGAYGACTCTGAGATGCCTTTTCCAAGCACACTAAGCCAGATTCCCGGCTTAACCAAACAGAGAGGCTCAGGCACACTGTGTGCTGCCCCCCTAATCCTGTTTACTCCAGAGGCAGCAGCTGCCAGAGGATTTGCTTCCCCCCTTTGCCCCGTCTGTCTGGTTGGATTCTTTGGATGAGTTGTGGAAAGATGCCAAACTCTGTGTCAGAGCTGCAGCTGCAGAGCTGTGGAGCTGGGGAAGCAGCAGGCACATACCATGGGTGGCTTTGGGGAGCTGGGCTGTGTCCTCAGGCTCTGCTGGGCCACCTGGGCCAGCCTGGAGCTGGGGTGCCTCTGACACAGCTCCTTCCTTTGAAAGTGACTTCCCAAGGGCCTGTGCCTCCTCCTGTGCACATTTGCCTCCCTCACCTCAGCCTTTGACTGGGGCTTGCTCTGGCCTGCTTGTACTTCAGTTATTTATTTGTTGTGTTCTTTGTATTTTTTACAGTCCTTGAATAACTTCTGCAGTCAGATCGGGGATGACCGCCCGCTGTCCTACTGCCACTTCAGCCCCAACTCCAAACTCCTTGCCACAGCCTGCTGGTGAGACTTCCTTGGCARCACCTGCTTCAGGGGCTGGGAGAGCACAGCAGGGAAAGACAGGGATGTTCTTGGRGGCTTGGGAATCGTGAGAGTCCAGAGATGCTTCTCTTCCCTGCTCTGAGCTGTCATCACTTTATTTTAGAGMTGAGCAGAGATTGATTTGAGCTGGTTGCTCAAAGTGTGTTGGTGTTTTAGCCACTTCAGAACCCTTAGGATGGCTTTACAGTTCTGTTTGATGTGTTCCTTGTCATTCCTTCTCCACTGACATTGTATTCCTTGTCTTCCACAGGAGTGGGCTGTGCAAACTCTGGTCTGTGCCTGACTGCAACCTGGTTCACACCTTACGAGGTAGAGAGCAGCTCTCACTGAGCCTCTTGGTTCTTTTGTTCCTCTCTGGGCTGAGCCCCCACACCTGAATTACTTCATGACTCAAAATGTCCTTTTTGGGCAATTTCCCTCTTACTGAGAGTATTGCTTGTGCTTGGGAGATGGGAGTGTGTCAGATAATCTGGAGGGAGACCTGCTTTTAGCTCCTGCCTCAGCCCCAAGGTTGCTGTTTGTGTTTCTGATCAGTTTTGTTTGGTTTCCAAACTTGGTTTGAGTTATTTAAGTTACAAACAGTAGTAGTTTTGGGCAGGCCACTTGACAACAGTGAGGCTCTTTGAGCAGTGGTCACAACTTGGACTRAATAGAAACACGAGGACAAATCTCWTGATTCATATRTTGAATTTTCACTGCACTTTGAGGGTTCCAAACCATTGCACTGGATGCTGTGCCATGGGTGCTYCTGGAGGTGCAGGACAGTGTCACCCAGCTTTGAGGACACAGTGAAAGTGTTCAGTGGCACCTGACTCTCACTACTAACAAGGAAATGCAGCTTTTCTGAATAATTGGCCAAGATCACATGGCAGATGCTGAATTTTGGTTTTCCTTTCAGGACACAGTACCAACGTGGGGGCAATTGTGTTYCACCCCAAGGCCACCGTGTCCCTGGACAAGAAGGACGTCAGCCTGGCCTCGTGCGCAGCYGACGGCTCTGTCAAACTCTGGAACCTGGAAAGGTCAGAGCTGTTCCAGATGTGCACAGCTGCAGCACTGCTGTTCTGGGGTTTATTCTGTGTTCCTAAACACCCAACATTTACCATCCTCCTGCCAATATGACCTTTTCTTGTATTTACCCCAGTGCAATCCCTGGCCTCAGTATGTGCCACCCTCTTCAGCAGGAAGAGAGATCACCTTGATTAGGGAACCAAGGTGAGGGAGATTGTCTGAAAGGGATTGAGGCAGAATTGCTGCTGGGCATTGGTGAACTGCTGGGGGTGATGGAAAGTTTGGGGAATGTCCCAGTCTAACCTTTCACTTGGGAGAAAACTGCCCCTCTTGGATATTAAGAAATGAATTTTGAGTGATTGGAAAGTACCAGAATTTGGAGAGGGAGTGACCAAATACACAACCAGGCACAAAAGTTTCTGCCTGTGCTGCAGACAGGTGGCTGTCACTGCCCAGAGTGGCTTTGGCAAATGGGCAKCACCTGTCTCAGGCCTGGGAAGAGCACACTGGTTCAGGTTCTGAGTCCCAGCATGACCTGATTGAGAAATGGAGCCTGCAGTGCACCTGGGAAGGGCAGGCAGCTCCCAGAGCCCCAGTGTTTATCCTTGGCTGAAAATCACAGTTGCCAACAGCAGAAATGCCCCTGTGCAAARGGACAGGAGAGTTGTTATCTCCTGTGACCACATCTCTTAATTAACCTGTTGGAAAGAAACTTCACTGCTGTTCAGGTGGTAGCTGAAGGCTCCTGAGCTGCTGCCTGTCATTCTGGGAGAATAAATATTCACTCAGTCCTGCACCCCTGGCATCCTTCAGAACAGCAGGGTCTGCTGCAGTGCAGGAGGTTCTTTGTACTCTCAGAAAAACTCTTTGCAGTTCAGCTGGTCTGTGGTTGTTCCTGCACTTCCACAAGTGCTAATGACAARGGCCTTGTTAATTTTCAGGAATAATAATCATCACCACCACCACCACCACCATCATCATCACAGGAGAACATTACAGCCAACAGGAGTGTGGAGAAAGGGTTTCACTCAGAGCTTTAGGAGTGTGAACCAAGGCAGAATTCAGAGTTGTTGGTTACAGCTCTGATGTTCTTGTCTGGTTTGATGTGATCAGCAGAGCTTTTGCTGCCATCATTCGTTGGCAAAGGCCTGGCTGCAGCCAGACCCCCTGTGGCCAGTGCCCAAAGATTTGTTCTGTGTTGCAGTGATGAACCGGTGGCAGACATCGAAGGACACAGCATGAGAGTGGCCCGTGTGATGTGGCACCCGTCTGGGAGGTTCCTGGGCACCACCTGGTAGGGACACCTGGGGATTTGCTTTCAGAAATGACCATGGGCTGCCCAGCTGCTGGCCAGTGGTGCCAGGCCATGTCCATAGCAGGGCAGGACAGGGCCATTTGTGACCACATCTAGGCTGTTGCAGTGTCAGTGACTGCAGGGCATTGGGATTCCTTTTCCTGCCCCTGTGTGAGACACTATTGCCCAGCTAGAAATGAAATGCCCCCATTCTCCTTGGAGATCCATGGAGACTGCAGGAAACAGCTTCAGGCTGCACCAGGGGAGGTGTAGGTCGGATATGGGGAAAGGTTTGTTCATAGAGTGGTCAGGTCCTGGAACRGGCTGCCAGGGCAGGGGTGGAGTCACCATCCCTGGAAGTGCTCACAGACCACMCAGATGTGGCACCTGGGGACATGGATGGGTGGTGAACACAGCAGTGTTGGGTTAACAGTTGGACTYGATGATCCTGGAGGGTTTTTCCAACCTGAATCACTGCGGGATTTGATGAGTGCTTTGTTCTTGCAGCTACGATCACTCGTGGCGCCTGTGGGACCTGGAGGCACAGGAGGAGATCCTGCACCAGGAGGGGCACAGCAARGGTGTCTATGACATCGCCTTCCACACCGACGGCTCCCTGGCTGGCACGGGGTGAGCTGCCCTTGGCTCAGGATGGGTGGGAAATGTTACCAAGGGCTTGCTGTGACCAGAGATTTCTGCTGGAGGAATGGCTTCCCACTGCCAGAGGGCAAGGTTGGATGGGATATTGTGAAGGAATTGTTCCCTGKGAGGGTGGGGAGGCCCTGGCACAGGGTGCCCAGAGAAGTTGTGGCTGCCCCTGGATCCCTGGSAGTGCCCAAGGCCAGGCTGGATGGTGCCTGGAGCCACCTGGGCAGTGGGAGGTGTCCCTGCCCATGGCCAGGATGATCTGTAGGGTCCCKYCCAGCCCAGCCCAGTGTGTGACTGTGATTRCAGAGGTCTGGATGCCTTTGGCCGGGTGTGGGACCTGCGCACAGGACGCTGTATCATGTTCCTGGAGGGGCATCTGAAGGAGATCTACGGCATCAACTTCTCCCCAAACGGGTAAGAGGGGAGCTGGCGTGGCGGATGTGGAGCCCTGAGTCCAAACCCCATTCCCTGAACACCACCTGAATCCCTCCCCTGCTGGGCAGGTACCACGTGGCCACGGGCAGTGGGGACAACACCTGCAAGGTGTGGGACCTGCGGCAGAGGAAGTGCATCTACACCATCCCTGCCCACCAGAACCTGGTCACTGGCGTCCGCTTCGAACGTAAGTCCTGGTGTTCCTTATCCCTGCCCCTCCAGCAGCTCCAGCCCCCACCTGCASCTCAGGAAGGCCTGTGCTGGTCAGCAGAGATTTTGTCTTTATTTACAAGACTCACTTCTCCTCTTTTCGCCTCCTGTGCAGCCAACCACGGGAATTTCCTGCTGACGGGTGCCTACGACAACACAGCCAAGATCTGGACCCACCCCGGCTGGTCCCCGCTCAAGACACTGGCGGGCCACGAGGGGAAGGTGATGGGCCTGGACATCTCCCTGGATGGGCAGCTCATTGCCACCTGCTCCTATGACAGAACCTTCAAGCTCTGGACAGCCGAGTAGCTCAGAGGGGCCAGCTGTGGACTGGGATTGGGGACATTTGTGACTTTCAGTTGCTTTTTTATATTAAACAAAAAAACAGAAATTGGCAATTCCAACATGTCACAGCAGCTGCAGTCAAGGCTGCTCTGCAGTTTGGGTGTGTTTGAAACACCAGTGTTGGCCAAGGCATGGCWGGAGTCAACTCTTGATAGTTTTCCCAGTTTTTGGATAGTTTTTTTACTGCAGGTACCACTTTCTGCTGTAATTTTGATCCAGTTACTTCCACCCTCCCTTCCAAGTTTGGTTCCCAGGTGTCCTCAAAACATCTGCAGTAACCACAAAGCACCTCAGGTTTGGTGTGTGGTTCAGCCTCTGTTACTGCCCTTCTCACCTTCCTCTTCYAGGAATCTTCACACTTGATCTGCATTTAGACAAAGAGCTATCAGAGGGAGAGGCACGTGGTGCCCTCCTTCCCCTGCCTCACCACTGGTGTCTGGGGATGAAGATCTGCATCTCCCCTGGATTCACTTGGAGTAGATGTCCAAGGCCAGGGAATATTTATTTTCCAGGTACCACCTCGTGTCCTGCTCCTTGAGCTGTCCTGTGAACTGGGTGTTGCAAATCTATGTCAGCATCTCCTTTTTAGGGTTTGCTGTGTGAGCTGATAGGAGGGTCATTCTATGTAGGATTGTCTCTTTGTGCCCTACTGTATGGAGAGCTTTTGTACTTGTTTGTTCTTTAAATTGAGGTTTTGCAGATGTTGTGCCCTGGAAAATCTAAAGATATTTTGAATGTGCATCCTGGGCTCTGGGTCTGACCAAGGAATGGAGRAATTACAGGAATTTCACAATGCACAGTTTGATTTTGCTGGTGTGAAAAACARCTGAGGAGGGGTGGAGTCACGGSRTTTGTTCAGCCTGGAGAAGGGGAGGCTGAGGGGAGACTTATCAGGGTCTGGAGCTTTTTCCTGAGGGGCAGCACCAATCTCTGCTCTCAGGACCTGAGGGAACAGCTGGAGCTGTGTTGGGAAGTTCAGGATATCAGGAAAGGCTCTTCCCCAGAGGGTGCTGGCACTGCCCAGGCTCCCCAGGGAATGGTCCYGGCCCCGAGGCTGCCAGAGCTCCAGGAGCGTTTGGACAGCGCTGCCAGGGATGGACAGGAGGGGGTTGTTGGGGTGTCTGTGCAGGGACAGAGGTTGGACTCCTGGATCATCCTGGTTGGTCCCTTCCAACTCAGGATATTCTGTGATGGTACAAAAACTTTCAGGAGTAAAGTGATTCACCTCCCTGTCATCAGCTGGAGAGCAGCTGTCTGTGCTCCTTGGGAACTTGAGCACAGTTCTCAACTCCCATGGTGCAGTTGGAGAYGCTGTGTCCAGAGAAAAAAACAAACCCCAAACCCACTCACAGGTTACTTTCTTCATAGCAGTGTCGAGGGCTTTCTCCTCACTTCCATGCTGCAGGGTGGCATCTGCCATGTGCCAGCTCTTAGTTGTTCCCAGGGAAAATGTGGGATAAGAGGCCAGCAACTAACACAGAAGAATTCTTTAATTGCAGTCTCCTCTGCTCCAAGCCCAGGTCCAGCTGTGTGTGCTCAGCCTGGTGCTCAGGTATCTGTCCCTTGGTCCTGGTATCTCATCTCCTTCCTCTGCCCATCCTTCTGGCTTCAGGGAGGCTTTGTAAGGAAGTTGCAGGAGGCTCCGTCAGGAGCAAGGGCTCGGCCTGAAGGCACACAGGGTCTGGCTTTCCTCCTGGACAGCTCTGGTGCTGCTGTGCCACCCCCAAACCAACCAGCAAATCACCAGCTCCTGCTCACAGGCACAGAGCCTCTGCTGCCCACGGCTCTTGGGGATCACATCCCCTCCTGGGACAGTCTGACAGGAGATTCCCATACTCAGAACACTGCCACCTCCTCCTGGGACAGTCTGACAGGAGATTCCCATACTCAGAACACTGCCACCTCCTCCAGGGACAGTCTGACAGTAGATTCTCATACTCAGAACGCTGCCCCCTCCTCCTGGGACAGTCTGACAGGAGATTTCCATACTCAGAACGCTGCCACCTCCTCCAGGGCCGGCTCTGTGCCGCCGCTGAGGCGGAGCACGTGGATGCCGGAGTTGGCGCTGGCGCAGAGCAGGGTGGAGCTGTCACAGGCRGCCAGCGAGGCCAGCGGGCCCGAGCCCTCGAGGCACAGCGTGGCCAGGCAGGCTGCAAAGGAAGGGACAAGAGAGGGACACTGGGTGTGCTGAGATGAGGCAGGGTCACACCGATCTCCCACCTCTGAGCTCCGCTCTCCTGAAGTGGGTGAGCTGCTCCCCTCACTGTCCTGGACCAATGCATCCAAACACATCAAGGATGTACCCTCTGGAAAAGACCTGCGCTCCTGTGCATTGCCCAGGCAGTGGCTGACAGGGATCCAGACCGGGGTCAGGCTCTGCCCCTTCCCAGGACAGGAAGCAGGGCTGGATGGACCTGCAGACCCCACCGGGCAGAGCTGCAGGGTGTGCCTGGAGCCATTCCCAACATGCCTTTTTCTCCCACATTTCTTACAGTTTTCCTAAGGGCTGTGTTACACTCACAAAACAGTTTTTATGAGTCTCCAAAAGGGAAAGAGAAATAAAGTTTATAATATCCAGTGCCACGTCAGCCCGTCTGCGTCTGTTATTAAAGCCCCCAGAGACAGTCTGTGAGACATCAGCCTGAGCTGCAGAGCTGTCCCWGGCACAGACCCACAGGTCACCTCTGCTGGTGACCTGCACCCTTCCCAGRGCAGCTGGACTGTGGCTCTCCCAGCTGGGAAGGCAAGAGGATCAAAGCTGCTGCCAGCCCTGCAGCCACCCTGGGTGCACAGGCACCAGGTGAAGGAACAGGCAAGAGAACAGAAGGTCCTTCTCTGCAGGAGAGYCTCAGGTTTCTATTTTCATCCCTTKCATCTTAAATAAGTTTCCTTGGAGAGGGGCTTAGCCCCAGGGAGTGTCTAAAGCTGATGGCCTCTGCTGCCTGGGCAGTGAACCTGAACAGCTTCCTAGGAGGTCTCTGCCTGCTGCAAAGGGTTCCTGAGAACCTGCTGCCATGGCTCGGCAGGTAAACACCTTTGTRCTCCCTGCAAGAGGACAATCAAAGTGAGGGCAGCTGCTGACCAGCCCTCTATCCTCCAGCACAACTTTGATTCCTTACAACTTTCCATTTGTACCTGCAGAAATCTCTGGAGTTCCCCTGTTCTTTTTTATCATTCATCCTTTCATTGCTGAACTTGGATGTATCTTTAAAAACTGCCTCATAATTCTTCCTTTTAGCTCAGGGAGGACCCCTGACATCTCTGACACGCACCCAACCTCCCTCCTGCTCGCCCCTGGGTTTGCTCTGGGGCATTTCTCCACCCTGTCCTGCAGCTGGCTTGGAGTAAACTCCAGAGACTGCAGCATCCCCCTGCCTATCACCCCAGGACAGAACAGAGGGAAGTGGGTTTGTTATCCAGGAAAAAGGGACACCCTACCTGCAGTGGCCTGGTCCCAGACCTTCACTGTGCTGTCGCTGGAGGATGTGGCAATGCTGGGGGCGAGCGCTGGGCCCCGGGGCAGGAACACACAYGAGGTGGTGGTTTGGAAGTGCCCTTTGTATTCACACACACGGCCCCTCGTCTGCCTCAGGTCCCACAGCTGCAGGGAACAGGSAGCATCAGAGCCCCAGCTCTGCCACTGGCTCTGCCAGCATGGAGCTGTTTTACCAGGATGGGGAGATGGGCTGGGATAAYGAACTCCTGGCCAATCCTCAGAGCACCATAGCTGCAGCCCTTGTCCCTGCTTGTGCTCATAGCCCTCGAGAACATCAACGTCCAAAGGATTTTCACCACTGGTGACTGAACACATGTCCACAACTATTAGAGCTGACAAGTTAAGACTGCAGACAGAGAAGTCTCCAGCCTGCTCTCATCCTCAGTCCTGCCCTCCCTGGCATGGGACAGGCTCATCCTCTTGATCCTCACACACAAGACTGGGAAGCTACAGGACTGAACCCCTGCTTTGGAAACACCTGGAGCAAGGGGTCCCTTACAGGCTTTCTGCAGGAGCCTTAAGCTTCTCAATGCCCTCCACTGGCTTTTTTTCCTGTGTGTTTTACTGAAATGAAATCACACACTGGTCTGGGGTGGAAGTGACCTTAAAAAGACCATCTTGTTTCAACTCCCTGCCCTGGGCAGGGATGCCACTCACTAGATCAGATTGCTCATAAGGCCCCCATCCAGCCTGGCCTTGGAYACTTCCAGGTATGGGGCAAATCCCAGGGCTTTAATCAAGAAGAAAACCTGCTGATATTCCCAGAGCAGAACATCCTACAGGGACAGGCAGGAAGGCATCAAGCACTGGCCCTGGCTGGTGACACCAGCACAAGGGCGAGGCAGTGGCAGCATTCAGCTCCTCGGAGCACTGATGGCTGCTCTCCCCTGGGTGCCATAGGTATGGGAGGAAGAGGGAATAGGAGCAGAGGCCTTGCTGCCCCGTCTGTCACTCACGGTGGCCTCGCCGCCATGGCCGCTGTGGCCGCTGCTGCTGCTCAGGCAGTAGCGCCCGTCCTGGCTCACGTCACAGCACGTCTGGATGTGCTGCTTGGCTGGGAACGTGTGTGCCACCTGCAGCTCCCGGCTGTCCCACACCCTGCAAGGAACAGGGGACCCTGAGCCATCACTGCCACTATGGTTTCCCTCTGCCTTCCCGCACACCCCGGCTGYGCCCTTGCACTCTGCCCCCGCTGCTCCCAAACTCCCCCTGCATTCCTCCATTTATCCGTGCTGGATCATTCTCCAGCTGTGTTTTTCACAAATATTCCTTTGCCCCTGCAGTCACCACCCAGTGCTGCTCCCAGCCCCTGTCCCTGGCTGGACACTGCGCTCCAAGGCCCAGCTGAGCTGGCAGGTGGCTTTTAGCCACACCAGCAGCAGTCATGAGAACCAGCCAAAGAGCAGCCCCTTGTGCATCTTCCCTGATCCCCAGGAGCCTCAGGCCGTGCCTCCCCTCTCTCTGGCCACAGGGAGAATGTACCTGGTGGTTTTATCCTCYGAGGTCTGGATGACATAAGGCTCCCCAGGAACCCAGCAGAGATGTGTGACCTGTGGAGAGGGAAGGATGAGCAGGAGCAGCCCAGGCTGTGTCTGACTGAGGATGGAGCCACTGAGCTCCCATCCTCTCCCTGCCTGGGTTGGGTTGTGAGCTGGAAATGTTGGATGAAGCTGTTCTCTGCTCCCCTCCCAGGCCCAGTAGGGTTACTGGGGGTGATTGAGCAGCTCACCAGACACAGAGCCATGGGCACAGGGACACAGCACAGGCACAAGAGAGGGGTACAGGAAGGAATGCAGCCCCACTGCACAGGGCTTGTTTAACCTGGAGAAAAGGAAGCCTCACTCTCCACAACTCCCTGACAGGGGCATGGAGCCAGGTCAGTGTCAGGCTCTGCTCCCAGAGAACAAGAAATGAAAGGAAACAACCTCAAATAGTGCCAGGGGAGGTTTCGATTGAATATTGGGGAAAATTTCTTTGCTGAAAGGGTGGTCAGGCCCTGGCACAGGCTGTCCAGGGCGGTAGTGGAGTCCCATCCCTGGAGGGATTTAGAAGACATGCAGATGTGGCACTTGGGGACATGGGTTWGTGGTGGCTCTGTCAGTGTTGGGGGAATGGTTGGACTCAAGGATTTTAGATTCTCTGTGCTTCTAAACAGCTCTGAGTT